ATTTCTCTCTCTCACTCTTTTTTCTTTCCTTCCCCCTCACACCAACATATATGTATTTTGTATAATGATGAGGGTCTCCTTCCATCTTCTGTGCAGGGGAATTGCACAAGAGTTCCATAAAAAGTAGCATTGAATTTTTAATTTAAATTAATGATTAAAACTGTTACCTTGTGGGGTGTAGTGGCGCATACCTATAATCCCAGAGGGTTGGGAGCTGAGTCAGGAGGATTTTGAGTTCAAAGCCAGCCTCAGCAAAAGTGAGGCTCTAAGCAACTCAGTGAGACCCTGTCTCTAATTAAAATACAAAATAGGGCTGGGGATGTGGCTCAGTGGTTTGAGTGTCCGGGAGTTCAGTCCCCATTACCCTAAAAAAAATAAATAAAAGTGGAACAATCAATATATCAAATTTGTGACACAGCCTCTCTGAATATGTATATTGTTTCTTAAATATCAGTTATATCATGGAATTTAAAGTATGTTTACAAGCATTTTATGTTGGCATCCCCCCATCAACACAAGGTATTGAACTTAGGACCTTGTGCATGCTGGGCAAGCACTCTGCTACTGAGCCACATCCCCAGCCCTTCTTACTTTTATTTTGAGAAGGGTCTTGCTAAGTTATCCAGGCTGGTCTTGACCTTGCCCTCCTCCTGCCTCAGCCTCCCCCACTGCATCCAGCCCAGTTCATAGCTTTGGAAAGTTGATCCCATTGAAAGAGTCTTTCATATGTTGGTTGTTTCCTATTAGATCATTCACAAGGGTGGACTCAGCCTCCCTTTTCCTTCAATGCCATTTCCTAAGAAAGGGGCCACCATGAGCCAGAGTCAGCTGCCTTTGAAGCAATTTAGTTGATACTTTCATAGTTCCTGGCCTTTACAAGAGGCTGAAAATATTGGAGATTTTCCTGAAGTTCATAATCAGCAGGTATTTCCAAAGTTTTTATCCTTGTTTCAGCCTCATCCTTAAGGTAGCAAGCCAGTCCAGCCAAGTAACTTCTTATGTTGTATTTCACCATTTCTAAGACACTTTAGTGTCTCTGACCCTGGAATGTGTCTTGCAGTCAGCATTAAACTATTTCAAAGTTCAACCCACAGTGTTTTCTTTCCTGTGGTACATTGATTACGATGGGGTATATTGAGGTATAGTTGCAAATTCTTTTCAAGGTGATCTCAGTTAACTCTCCTAATAACCCTGTGAAATAGAAGGAGAAAGTCTTATTTCCATGTTGTTCTTGAGGAAATGCTCCGGAGGGAGGTTTCATTTGGGGAGTTTGCTTCTGTGCCTACAGACTGGAGGTGCTGGGCCCCTCACCAAGCCTGTGTGGCTGAGCCAGCAGGTCCTCGTCCTCTACCTCAGAGTTTTCTTCAGCTGTCCTATTGGTGAGCC